CTGTGTAGCAATGAAACCATATTTTTGAATCAGTTAAATTATAATATATATATATATATATAATGTGTGTGTGTGCATGAAAAAATGGAAAGGCTTTTATGGTTGGTATTAATGAGGTAAAATGCAGTTAGACATTGAGTTAAGCTAGAATATAAACCAAGATTTTTTATGTGTGATTGGCTCATTATTGAATTCAAGGGTCTTTGATCTTATTTTGCATTGATGTTCTCATTGTATTGTCCATATCAGGAAGGTTCTTCAAACCAAAATTGTTTGTCACACTGAATTCCCAAATTCTTCTGCCTTCTACATGCACACTGTCAGTAGGACTGGAATGACAATAACAACAATGTTCACTGTTAGGTACTTACAGTCATACAATGTGTCCAGGACATCGAAATTAGTACATCCATTGCTATTTAAATGTGCTCATACAACTCATCTGCTGGTATGCGCCACTTAAGCCCAGGGGAGTGAACTCTGGAAAAGCAATATGGACTCTTGCACTGTTTGTTTGTTTCCCTTCTACAGTTAATGATTGGCTGAAACATAAAAATATCCATTTCAGGGATTTACAAAATAAATAATTTTATTTTTCAAATGTTTTTCTTTTAAAGAATTTTGAAGCTGAGACATGTTTAGTAATATCAGAAAAAGAAATGAACATGTGCATCAAGAAAGGATTTTATTGTCAGTAATTTGGAAAGACAAAAACATCTGACTGTTGTGTACATTGGCCATCACAATCTTTTTGTATGCCTGTAAATCTTGGACATTAACAGCAGAATTACTGTGAAGAATCCAAGCATTGGATCAAGTCTCTTCTTGGATTACCCAACCAATGCTTTTATCCACTGAGTCATGACCTCTGGTAAAAAAAAAAAAAAAAAATAGTTACTGAGACATTAGGTTTATAAGTCTCTTCACTCACTGATGTCCCCAAAGACACAGGGTCCAGTGGATAAAAATATTGACTGATTAATCCAAAAAGTGACCCAAAGAGTTGTGAGTTCAGTAGAGGGAATAAAAACTTGAAGAGTTGTGTTACTAGAGGGAATTAACTGAAACTGAGACATTTGGCATGTGAAATTAGAACAATCTACCCCTATAGACAAAATAAAGGATTCAGTTTAAAATTCCAATGTATATCATTTGAAGAAGGCCAGAGCATACAACTGCCAAATGGAAATAAAGATGAGGACAACAGTCTGAACAATGTAAATAGTGTAAGCAACAAGAAGTGTTTAACACTTCCTGGCAATACCTCATAAGTAAGGACCAATTCCATTTTGATTGCATGGAAAGACATATCAAAAACACTACTTGGTTTCAGAAAGAAAGACAGGCAGATAGAAGTGTTTAAAGTCAGTTTCAGTGAAATGGAAGAAGTTATCAGTTTCAAATCTTTTCATGATTGTAATTGCAATATTTTGTTTAGCTCAAATATTTAATGATGTAAATGGGGAATTTCTATGGAGATTTTATTGTTGTAGAACTCTCCATGAGCTAACTCAATCATTAACTTGAGAATAAAGATCCATGAGAAAATTCAAATAGGAAAACCATGAAATTTTCACAGGTGTTTCTCGTGAATCTAATTCCCCTTTTTTTTTTTCTTCTTTTTTTTGCTCTTCAGAGGCAGGGGAGTATTCACCATCATACAACAGACAAAGAACATGGTGCCAGTTTCACCTTGAATGTGCACAATATAAAACTCATGTGCCAAAGAGTAAGTAAAACAAAAATGGCCAAAATAAATAATAAATATATATATATATATATATATATATATATATATATATATATATTTTTTTATACATTTTTAACAAATTGAGGGGCAGTGTGCAAAATAATGATGACCCACCTGGTGCCATGCTAATTTGGTCCCATTGACGTGTACTGATATCACTATCAAAGATGGTTCTATATGAACCATCTTTGATAGTGATATCAGTAATATGCCTAATATATCTTCAAGAATGCTTTGTTTATTTTTAGAAATTCATTTTAAACTTTAGAATTTATAATTAAAAAAAAAAGAGTGGCGTGGGGTGGGAACCAAAAAATAAATTAAAACAAAATATTTGGTGATATGTTGGCATTAGTAGGATGAGAAATAAACAGACTCTGAAATTACAGATTGAATCTATGGACTGTAAAGGATTACTGAGACATTCCAAAGTTTACACAAAAAATATTGTGCTTTGGGAACTTTTGCAGTAAACATAATTTTAGTTGTAAATATGTAACATTTATGAGGATATCATGCAGATATCTTTCCTTAGGTGTTTATAAATTTATGTACTGTTCAATTATTAACATTAACTATTTTAAATTACAAAATTGTAGTTGGATTAAATTAAAATTACTTACAATATAATACATATTACTTATAATACATTCCTTGCTATCAATTTTGATGGCACAGGTACACTAGTATTTATATATTTAACTTCAAAATGCAGGCACTTTAGTTGACAAACACTTCTATACAATGCCAAATTCAAAAAGATCATTATTGAATTTTCTTTGAAATTATTGAATCAAGATAATCCGCATCATAAAAGAAGAGCTAATTCTTTGTCAGCCACATTTTGTCTGTATGTGACAAATATGCACTCTCCAGCAGGATTAAAACCCAAATCCTCCCAGAGTGCTTCTTTTCATAAGATTTCTCAAATATTTATGTCGGCAGTTGAAAATAAATAATTGTACTGTTTAATAAATAAATGGAGCATCTACTCAATAATGAGTATCCACTAAAAATAACATTGAAGCAATAAAATAAGCTGGATTAATAAATGAAAATCCATCACTTCCTTAGAAATATACAGTCGGGGGAAATAAATATTCGTACACGTAAAAAATTGTATTTTTATAAATGTAAAAGCCTTAAATAAAACAAATCTCAGCATATTTTATGTATAAAGACACATACTATTAAAAAATAATAATAAACTTAATTAATTCTTATTCTAACAGAAATTAATGCATTTTTTAAAATTCTAACTGGTGAAAAAAGTATTCATACAAATCAGTTATTAGAATAAAATAATCAATTATGAAAAAAGTATATTCTAGAATGTTCCAGTAATGTTATCAGTAATTATAGTTAACGCTATTAGCCATTATAAGAGCATTCTGCAATTTCTAGTCTTACAAGAAGGATCTAATAATGCCTAAAGGTAAAGAATTGACTATTTCACAAAAACAACACATTTTGTCTCTTTGGAAAGATGGGAACAGTTACAGAACGATTTCTAACAACCTGAATATTCCTTTCACTACAATTGCTTTGTTCATTGCAAGGTTTAAAACTCGTAACAGCGTCGAAAACCAAAGACGAACAGGTGCTCCGAGGAAGATTTCTCTAAGATCAGCAAGGATATTAGGATGCCAAATCCAACAAAATCCACAGGTTACCCGAGAAGAGCTGCAGGAACATCTGTGTGCATTAGGGATTAAAGTAACCAAGCGTACAATAAGTAATGAACTACACAAAAACAGTCTGAAATCACGCATCCCAAGGAAGACTCCCCTTCTCTTGAAACGACACAGAGATGCTAGGCTAAAATTCGCTAAAGAGCATAAGGATAAAGAAAATTTGTTTTGGGAAAAAGTACTATGGACAGATGAAACTAAAATAGAGTTGTTTGGTCATAATTATCGAAATCATGTGTGGAGGAAGGACAGTGAAGCCTACTTACCAAAGAACATGTTGCCAACTGTAAAGTTTGGTGGTGGCAGTATCATGTTTTTCTGCAAAATGTGTTGGCAGAATATCAATAATAGATGGCAAGATGAATGCTGAAAGATACCAGAAAATCCTGCAAGACAATTTAATGTGTTTTGTTGAGAGACTTCGGCTACCTCCTGATTGGGTTTTCCAACTGGATAATGATCCTAAGCATACCACTAGATCTACAAGGAAATGGTTAGCTGAAAGTAACGTTGATGTCTTGCAATGGCCAAGTCAGTCCCCAGACTTGAACCCAATTGAGAATTTATGGCGATATTTGAAAATTCAAATTGGGAAAAGAGCACCAACAAATATCAAGAATTTGAAGACAATATGTCAAGAAGAATGGAACAAAATACCACTCAATGTGTGCAAATCATTAGTTGAGACGTACAGGAATAGACTGGTAGCTGTTGAACTCAATAAAGGATATTCCACAAAATATTAAATTAAGTTAATATGCCTTTTTTGTTTTATACGAATACTTTTTCATCAGTTAAAATGAGAAAAATGCATTAATTTCTGTTAGAATAAGAATTAATTAAGTTTATTACTATTTTTAATAAAATGTGTCTTTACACATAAAATGTATCAAAATTTGTTTGAGTTAAGGCTTTTACATTTATAAAAATACAATTTTTCAAGTGTACGAATATTTATTTCCCCCCACTGTATGTAGGCATGGTAAAGTAATGGATTGTGATTGAGGAATTGGAGAGCCGAGTTTGAATTCCAGTTGAGTTCATTACATTCACTTACATGATAATACCTTTGGGAAATGTATGAATCCAACTCTTCTTCCCCTGCCCAGCTATGGGTAAATAGTAGGACAGACAGAGTTCTATAGCCTTGGGTGGCAAGCCGTCTAGAGATGGTGACTCAATAAAATTACCCATCCCGCAGCAGGCAAGAACCACCCATGGGTATGCTTCAGCTCTTGAAAACATACACTGCCTGAAATTCTTCAGTTTTGGGAAGTGCACATTCTGTCACAGGCAGAGAAAGTGTTTAATCTAATATATATATATAATGGCAGAATATGGTCCTCATGTATATCCAGTTTGACAGTGGACACAGGAGTGTTGGATGACTGTGGTCAGGCATAAAGACAAGCTAAAGTCTAACATCTCTTTTTTTTCAATGTGCCTCATACTTTGAGTGAGTTGCTCTGGATAGAAATAACAGGAGATATTTGTACCAGAATGGTATCAGAGATTTTGAAATCATTCGTATTGACCAGCTAAGTGATGAAAGCGGTCAGTCTATTTCATGCCTGAAGATTGCATTTAAGTATGAAACAGATTGTCACCACTGGGTGTTGACCTAAGTCTCCACTTTTATATTCTATCGTTGATATAGAGCAGTTTAGTCCATAAATATAGCATACCATACAACTATATTTTTAATCATATATATCTGTACTATGAATGAGTGGCTTACATGTGCTTATGCCATTTAATTTACACACGCATACACACAAAACTTGACCAAGTCTGAAATAAGACATTGGAATGATAGACACATCCACCTGACCCCAATTCACTTTGGACAACTCCTACCCTGGGCTGAGCAATAAAATCATGATGTTGGAGATGAGAAAAAGTTAATTTTATTAAGACTCTAGAAAATCATATAATCGTAAGATTTTATTCAATTCTGTATTTACTTGTACATCTCAGCCCATTCAATCTTTAGATGGATGGCCGCTTAGATACACCAGGTACTGTAAACAACCTCCGACAATCTTAAATAAGATTCAGCTTTAAATAACCCACAAAGGGTTGATAATCAGTAAAAAAAATCAAAATATGTCCATCAGTCAGTGTCTTGATTTAATATAAATTGCATAAGGACTTTCAGGTGACTGAAAACATATCCCTACAGACAATGATGGTCATTAATGGTCATTAATTAACAGACAATGATGGTCATTCACAGATTTTAATGAGATGTTCTGAGATTGCCAATCTAGATGTAATGGAAAGCTTATGCAAATTTTCAAGCCAACCCTTTCTAATACACACTAGTATATATTGGGCAATTCTCTCAAACAGCTGGGTGCTACTCAGTCTCTATACTCAGCTTCATAATATCCTTTAAGTTGGTAATTTACAGAAATTGTTTCTGAATTTATTTTAGCAGTGGTCAAGAAGAAAACATCATTTGTGAATTGGCATAAAAATAACATCATCTGACACTGGTAGAAATGTTTAGAAAATCTCACACCAACCTTGCCAATCCACAGCAATCTAAGATATACAGGACCTTATTTTGGGCCAAACACTTGATTTATGGATTTAGCACTAATTTTAGATTCTACCATGTCCAGACGATAGCCATTATTGCAAATAGACCCTTATCAGTCAGGTATATCCATAAACAGATCATACTAAATCCTAACAACCAATCCTTTTGTCTTGAGTTTTGTTTTAACCCCAAGCAAGTCAATAAAGCCACTAAGACACAAAGAGTTACTGAATGTTACTGAGAAAAAATACTATTAAGGAGACAATAAAAGAATATGAATTAAGAAGTCAGAAGATAACGATTGACATTACATTTAAAGTTTTGAAGATCAAACTTGACTAGGAAGCAAGAAGCCGGAAGAGAGTTCCACAAGTAAGAAGTGCAATAGCACAGAATTTATGGTTACACTTAGCCAAAATTGCTTAAATTCATAAAGTCTAAGTACCACAGAGGAAAGGTCATCAGCACATTTACCATAAAAGTATTCATAGAAAAGACACGGAAGATACATTATGGCGATGGGAAAGTGACTGAGGCTAAGATGTCGGGTCATGTTTGCAGATTCTTCTTTGGATTTTATCAAGAATCTCTAAATATATAGCAGGGACTTCAGACCATGTGTGGCAGCAATATTTAGATCCTGGGCAACTGGTAGACTTATATATGTAAGATAGATTCTGGAGATAAAAAATTGTCTGGCATGATACATGGAACCTAGCAGAAGATCGCACAATTGATTCAATAGGGATCTTTCCACTTCATGTCAGCAGAAAACATTAGTCTGAGAAGGTGCAACGAGTCACTTTCCTGGAGGTTAGCATTAGCCATGATGGCTGAAGGTAAAATTAAAATAGAGCAATATCATTTTGAAGACATTAAAATTAAGAAGCCATTCCTTGCCTTAGTTAACAGAAAGTACATCATTTTTTTTTTTTAAGATCAGCTGTCAGTTTGATGTTATCAAATAGAATCTGCTGAGAAAAATTGTCTGGTACGATGCGGTCCACTGACTTTCCTAGCAGCAGGCCTAACAGTTGATTCAATCTTTCCACTTCAGGTCGGTGGAAAATGTTGTGTTAATATAAATTGTCTCAAGAATTTTCAAATGTTAGTTGGAATGTGATCCTCTCAAGGCTGAGAACATGTCGTCACAGACTGATGATGCTCATTCCCAGTTTTTAATGGAATATTCTGAGATTAGATCTAACCTAGTCATCACGGAACAGTTAGGCAGAACAATATTTGAATAAGATCCTATGAGTTCTTTTCATTTTTTTTCTTATTGTATTGTTGCTGTAGTTACCATTTGTCCTTTTTTATCTTTTCGGTTTTTACTACAATATTTTTTTGTTTCCTCTAGGAGCTACTGCTTCGTATTTCTATGCATGAAATTGCTGCTGTATGCTACATCAAGGATGATAGTGATAATATCCTAGCAATAAAATATGGTAAGCATAAATGTTTTTAACAAGATTCCGAATTTAATGCTAGATTCTCTTGTCTATAAATTTTTTAAAGGAAGCATTGTGATCATCATTAATTTTTAGCTTAGTCTTGGCAGTTTTATGTTTTGTGTTTACACATTCTCCTGATCGACAAGAAAAACCACAATCTAATGATTCACCAACAATTCAAACCAAATCAAATTCACATTTTCCTAAGACTTCTAAACACATATTTATTACAAATTGGTATGGCTTATGCCAAACTGATTTTCTAGAAGTGGGGGCCATGTCGTGCCTCTTACATTTTTTTACACACCCCGGATGTTGACAGCTCAAAGACCCAAAGCAGACTGTGTAAATACGTTTTCTGCACATCACCTCCACACATACATCTACTTTAACCAAAACAAAATAAACAATACATTATGACCAGTCAGAGCCACTCCCACTCAAAAAGTAAAACTTTAATTTCAAGCTGATTGATGGCTATATATATATATATATATAAATTCAAACAGACCAGTGTTTGATGTCAACACCGGCACACTGAGACACGATACAGATCAGTGTTTGATGTCAACACCAGCACACTGAGACACGATACAGATCAGTGTTTGATGTCAACACCAGCACACTGAGACACGATACAGATCAGTGTTTGATGTCAACACCAGCACACTGAGACACGATACAGATCAGTGTTTGATGTCAATACCAACACACTGAGAAAAGCCATTGATAACAACAGCCACCACCACTATTCATTTCATTTCTAATTTCACTGCTCTCTCTTCATGTTGCCTTAGCAACTAGTTTTTGTATACATGTAAATAAATTATGCTTATTCACCCATACTAAATATCCTCTTTTGTTTAATGCTTGGATTTATGGTTACTGAGGTGGAGAATCAACAGATATAATATATATAACATGATTAGTCTTCATGATTATTGTTATCACAATTTTTTTTTCTTTGGTCCTTATGCTCTCTGACCTTTTTCAGGTGTCTATCAATGCATGTAACCTTCAGGGAATTTCAAACTGAGCCCTTTATTTAAAATACAGGGGCAAATTTTTCTCATTCCACTTTCTACATCAAGGTATATCTCATCTTGTTCATTTTTTAATACTGCTCTGTTATTGTTAGTCCTGTTTCCACTGAGTCTGTACTACCAAGCCCAGTGATTGAACTCACTCCCAAATACTGTGTCACCAAATTCATGAACCACTGCTTTAATCCTCTTAGCTCTTGTTCTGTGGTGCATTCTCGAAGCTAGAATTTGAAGCCTAAACCAACCCTCTGAGGAATGAAGAGAAGAACACTGGATAATCAAATGCCTGAAGGAAATATCACTTATGCTAGGCCTCCTCAGTAGACCCAGCATAAATATAAATATCATATGGGAAGCATTAATAAAGAAAGAGAAATGGTAGTAGAGGGAGGCAAGCAAGCTTGACAGCAAGGCTTCAGCAGCAGCAGTAAGAAATAGAAGCAATCGCATAGGAAACTGAGCTTAATAGCTAGGCTACAACAGTAGAGAAGGCAAAGAGAACATTGTTATGCAGTCTTCATAATGGAGAAATAGATGATGAAGCATCAAAGAGTCCATGAAGTGTGTTGTAACCGAGAGAAGGTTACTGAATAGAATAATCACATGAAGGTTAGTAATGAATGATGATACTTAGAATAAGAACAACTATATAAGATTCACCAGCAGCGTGTAGAAGAAGTAGCCAACTGCGAGAAGTGAGTCAGGTGAATTTCACATTGAATCTCCAACTGCAGGATATCTACCAACTGCCTCACGCAGTCAGATGTAGCACAAGGCTGAATTTAATGTGTGTTATTCAAGCCCGTAGGCTTGGCCATAAATTCCCTGTAGACCCTGTATAAAATGAGGTCGGGTTGCTGTTTCCCAAGATGAGTTCTCTGTCTTTCGATATAGCCTCATCTGGGGGATTCTCTCTGCCTCCGGGCAGAGAGTTTGACCAGCACAGCTGGAGATGAATCTCCAACTGCAGGATATCTACCAACCGCCCCACATGATCAGATGTGGCACAAGGCCGAATTTAATGTGGGTTATTCAAGCTAAAATATAAAACAGGGTCGGGTAGCTGTTTCCCAAGATGAGACTGCCCTTCAACATAGCCTTGTCTAGGGATCCTCTCTGCCCTTCGACATAGCCTTGTCTAGGGATCCTCTCTGCCCTTCGACATAGCCTAGTCTAGGGATCCTCTCTGCCCTTCGACATAGCCTTGTCTAGGGATCCTTTCTGCCCTCCGACATAGCCTTGTCTAGGGATCCTCTCTGCCCTCCGACATAGCCTTGTCTAGGGATCCTCTCTGCCCTTCGACATAGCCTTGTCTAGGGATCCTCTCTGCCCTTCGACATAGCCTAGTCTAGGGATCCTCTCTGCCCTTCGACATAGCCTTGTCTAGGGATCCTCTCTGCCCTTCGACATAGCCTTGTCTAGGGATCCTCTCTGCCCTTCGACATAGCCTTGTCTGGGGATCTTCTCTGCCCGGAGACAGAGAGTTTGACCAGCACAGCTAGAGACGAATCTCCAACTGCAGACCAACATACAGTATTTACCACCATATTTATGTGAATAGGGACATACCCATTATTGTCTGTATGTATGCTACAATGAAGTGTTTGAAAAGAGAGTTTTGGGAACTGCTGGTTTTAATCAGTTACAGTCTTCATATTTTCTGTTTTTTTTTTGTTTTTTTTATTTGTAAGAAAATGTTGGGAAGCTAGAAATTGGAAGAGAGTTCCACAAGCAATTTGTCCTCCTCCAAAAAAAAAGAAGTACAAGAAAAGGAACTATTAGAATAGAATTGACTGTTGCATCTTGCTTACATTTCAACTGTAAAACAAGGAGACCTAATTGCCAATCTAGTAGTACATTTAAATTCATGTAGTTGAGGCAACAAGGAGGTGAACAACTATCATGAAAATAATTGTAGAAAAGACATGTCACAGCAGTGGGAAAATAGCTAAAGATGACATGTCAGGTCAGGACTGATAACATTACAGACCCTTCTTTAGATTTTGTCAAGCATCTCAGATATGGTAACAATACACAGACGATTGGTAGATTTAGAAATGTTTCAAGATGCTTTCAGTATGTCCTGTGAGTGTCAAATTCTCCAAGACCTCTTTCCTTGTTATGTGTCCCTGAAATTTCAACTGTCACTTTCTATTTCTAAGTATGATTGTCCTTTTTGTTCCCTTTTCACTTAAAACTTTCTTATTGCTTGCATGCTCTGTCTATATTATTCTCATCATCTTTCTGTAGAATCACATCGGTGTTGCTTCGTCTTCTCTTCTGTGAGAAAATTGTCCAATATAGGAGGATCGATATTACATAACATATTACATCAAGCCCCTTTACTTCGTTTTTTTAAAGATATTTTCCTGTCTCTTAATATTTTTGCATTTGTAATTTTTTTTTCTCCTCCCGACAGGTGTTCCAGACAAATGCAACTTGGCCGTCCTCTATGTTGACAATCGTGTAAGTCGCTCTTCTCCACCTTTTTTTCAAATTGACGGTCATTTCAATGGTGTTTTACCATGTCTTAAAATTTATAACTCTTTTATAGGATAACAGAAACATACACTATAAGACCTAGTGGAACTGGTCTTTGGTATTTATTTTTTATTTTTTTAGCAAATTTTCTGCCCCCAGCCCCATCCTAATAAGCTGATCCTAGTTATTAACTTTGAACTTTTTGATCCTTTCTTCAGTCCCAGTTTTATTAAGACCTCAGTTGATCAGTTAGGTGCCATGCGTGATAACATGCTTAGGCAACCATGTATTTTTTGATACAAGAATGTCGAAGCAGATTTTTTCCTGTAGTAGGTTGTCATTTCTTTCTGTGGTAAACCAGTAGCCATCCAAGGCTATAGAACTCGATCTGTCCTGCTATTTACCCATAGCTGGGTGGGGGAGAAGAAGAGGATTCATAACATTATCAAGCGTATTAACATATAAGTGAATATAATGGATTCAATTGGAATTCGAGCTCAGCTCCCTGAATCCTCAATCCAAGCTGCAATCCATTACTCCACCGTGCTTCCTAAGGCTTCTCCCACCTCATTAATTTCACACTGAGAGTAACTTGCTTGGTTCTCAGAGAGAATTTTATACTACTTAGACATACACAAAATTGTATATACATGTGTTCCATGCAGAGAATAATATATCACATTTATCTACAGGGTGAGGCAGAGTGTAAGAAGAAACAAAAAGGAAGGGTCTTGCATATAATATGGAGATAATCCTATGTCTGGAGAAGTCATGCTTAGGACTCCAGATTCAAACAGGTCAGATTCATCTACTATGTCCCAGGCAAGGACATATTCTATGAAGGAGAAATGGCAAGTCTTGGGCTTTCCCAAATTGAGGACTCTGAGCCAGAGATTCTTTATATATCTGGGAAAGATATATTCCCAAACGGACATGGCACCATGTGCTTGTAAGATGCTGTGGGAGGCAGATTTAACCTCAGCTAATTTAGCCATCACATCCATAGCTATCTCAGCTATTTATTGAACATTACAATTCCATCATCCTGTGGATGGTAGTGAAAATGAAAGATATGCTATAAACAAAGGATATGCGAAAACTGATTTTTCTCTTTTGTTTTTAACTAAATATTTACCCAATGCAAGGCCCAAGAACCACTCAAGGGTTGCTGAATGAGGTTGTATGAATATAAGATAATGATATAAGAAGTGAAGATTATGAGCATATCTAGGAAAGATTACTGATGAGTATAGACTTGAAGAGGCTAAGATTGTAGTGATTGGAGAAGCATCCTCTCAGGAGTCTGTTCCATAAAGTAGGAGTTCTTGAAAGGAAGCTGTCTGAATGGGACTGCTTACTTACTAATGGAATACAAAGGAAATGAGGATGATTCATTGCAGTATACATGAAATGGTGAGTCTTAGCTGTGAAGGTTTGGACTGTTCGAATATCGCTTCTGAGAACATTTGCCATGGAAATAGTGATAGAGAAATGAGTGGATTGTAACATTTCATCTCTGGGAAAAGGGTTGTAGAGTGGGAAATAATTCATCACCCAATAGACCGCAAGGACGCTGCTGAACTCTGTCAAATCTGGAAAATGAGGACTGAGCAGCTCCAGCCGAGCCAGATATTTAGAAATTTCTTTTTAATTATTTCACTCCAATCAAGGTGGGAATACCACTTGTGTGCAGGGGGTTACAAGGAGTGGAAGTGAAAGAGAAGACTGAGAACAGGGAGGATTGACAAAATGACAAAAGATGAACTACATTCAAGAAGACAGAAGATGGCAATTGATGTTGCATTTAAATTTTTGAAGATTGTAGTTATCAGGGAAGCAAGTAAATGGGAGGGAGTTCTGCAGATGGGAAGTGTGAGAAAAGAAACTGCCAGAGTAGAAGTGGTGGTGGCATTTAATTATTTCAACAGTAAAAGGGTGGGACCTAGATTCCAATCTAGTAGCAAGCTTAAATTCATGTAGGCACCAAAGAAAAAAAACCTTGTCAGAGCAGTCGTCATGAAAATGTCACGTCAGTGAGAAAGTGACTTAAGTCCAGATGCCTGGTCAGGGTCAATTTCATTACAGATCCTGTTTTGGATTTTGTCAAGAATCTTGATATGTACAATTGGAGCACCAGAAGATATATGGCAACATTATGGCAGCAATACTCGATATATTTTGGACTGATCTGGCTCTTGTAAAGTTAGAACATAGAAGAAGGAGTCAGGTACTTTCTGGAGTGGTACAAGAAACTGACCATTTAGCGATGGATTGCATATAAGACTTGCACTTGAGGTCCCGTATGAACTTATGCCTCAACAGATCAACAGTTCAAAACATCTCATTGAGAGAACAACCATTTATCACGATAGGTGAAATTCCAGGTCTGCTTGTTAATGATAAAACATTACTAATTTGGTTTTGAAGGTATTGAATGTGACAAGCCGGCTTTTTTTTTTCCTCATTGAGCTGTTAGAACTAGATCAAAGGAGATATCAGCTGCTATAGTCATTTTTTTTTTTTTTTAGTGGTACACGTATACATTATTGTATGATCCGCATAAATATTTTCTACTGATCTGATATATATTCATAGGCAGATTGTTAATATAAAGCAGAAAGATGCTAGGATTCAGAAGGGAGTCTTGAGGATTACTTTTCTTAAAGGCTGGCTATTAACAACCTTCATGGACCTACCTGTCCAGAAGGACTTGATAATTGGGAGAACTCTTCCATAGATTTCATAGCTGAAGAATTTGTGTAGCAACCCCCTATATCCAATAATGACATCCAAAATTTCCAGCAACCGGTTCTATAAAGGCAGATAATCTTTAGAAACCTATTCTTCTAATTTTCTTTTCAATCTTAGAATAGAAACAAAGCACTTTATAGTATCAAAAAGAATTAAACCATTTTCATAATTTAATAGAAAACATTTATTTATTAAGATATTTCCAGACTGAAATTCTGTTCTCATCATATTTCTGTTCAGAAGTATGATTCTTTTTTTACTCTAGTGTCTCCAGCTGTGTTAGGGTTTCTTAGCCACATTTGACCTGTAGTCCCAAAGATCAAAAGGAAGACCTATTAAATTTATGACTCGATTTGCCACATCTTAACTTCAAGACGATTTAATCTTGTCAGAATAAATTACATTCATCACAGAAAACCCTCTTTTAGTCTCTAAAACTTACATCAATGGTATTAATGATATTTTTAGCTATTGTATATCGGCTATATGAGGAGGCATGGATTGAGGAATCGGAGAGCTAAGTTTGAATTCCAGTTGAATCCATAACATTCACTTACGTGCTAATACCCTTGGATAGATATGTAGCGTATTATTCTCCCCCAGCTATGGATAAATTAGCAGGACAAACCGGGTTCTATAGCCTTGGATATCAACTGGTCTACAGCAGAAAGAAATGGCAACCTACTGCGGGGAAAAAATCTGCCTCATCAGTCATGTATCGAAAGATGCATGACCGCCTAAGTGTGTATCACGCATGGCGCATAACTGACTGATATATCGGTTATAAATATAAAAGATTATTTTTGGATAGTTCAACAACCGGTTCACTAAGCTTTTATAATTTTCGCTGATCTACACTATCCCACCTGCTCCACGCACCCTGCTGGCTATAACTTGCCATTTTTGTCATCCGCTTTTCCTCCATCCCTGCTCTTACTCTTTTGATAATTTAATAGAAAACATTTATTTTGATATTTCCTGGTTGAAATTCTGTTCTCATCATATTTCTGTTCAGAAGTATGATGCTTTTTTTTTTATTCTAGTGTCATCAAGTGTGTTATGGTTTCTTAGCCATATTTGAACTGAATCACTGCAGACCCAAAGATCTCTCTCTCTCTCTCTCTCTCTTTTGCCTATTTTGTCAACACAACTACTGTTATCTATGTCTTTCTTTTACATTTTTTTTTTCTTCTTGCTAACTGCTGTTTATTGTTGTCATGGGCGGGGGGGCGTGTGTCCATTAGAGTTTCACTCGGCATAAGCATAGCATAAACTAACATTTTACCTAAATCATTGGCTATTAATATATAAAATTATTTTCAAATAATCCAACAACTGGTTTGCTAAGCTTTTATAATTTAAGAATTGATTTGCATGAACAAGTAGGAAACTGCCATTGCCTATGTCATACCTTGTCTAAGGCTGTTCTATAAGAGAGACCAATGTTCGAGAGATAAGGTTTTAAAAGTTACATACTGGTGATGTTATCATTGGGGATAAGAATTAGGAGGATAAGAAAAATAAGAACCACATGCTTTGGTCAATGCCTTTAGTTCGCTGGTTCTAATGATAACTAAGGCTAACATGAAGTAGTCAAAAACAGTAACTAACCTAAAAAGTACCTAAACTAAAAGGGGGAAATAAATGGTATATAGGTTTGTATTGTACTAATAGAACAAAGTCAATCACCCTCATGATGAATTTATTGTCTGATTCTTTGTAATGACAGTTAAGACATCAGCAGTAGACCTAGAAGAATAAAATCCATACTGTTTGCTGCTCAGTAGGTTGTTCCTGTTGAGAGGATCAGCAACTTTGTTGATCAGAGACTCAAAGAATTTGCTAGTGACACTAAAGAGGCTGATGGATTGATAATGTGATGGAGATGAGTGCTCACTAACATACCTCTATTTTGGGATCTAAAAAAAAAATAGTGAACCTTTTTTTTTATCTTGCAGATTCAAGCCGAAGAAATATGTGCTCTTGTCGATCAGTGTTTCCAGCTGGTCTATACAGAAGCTGCCATACAGTTCATTGATACAAAACTGACAGGTGCCTTTACAACATCTGTAACTTCATCCAACACACAGAGTGAACCCCAAGGTACTGATGTTTTTTTTTGTCTTTTTAAATCATATCATTACAAGCAAGACAATAAAGCCACTAAGACACAAGAGTGTGAAAGAATAAAAAAAAAAATAGAAACGTTATTAATGAGCGAAAACTAGAAGAGTAATCAAGAAGACAGTAGATAACAATTGACATTGCATTTAAATTTTTGAATATCAAAGTTGGCTGGAAAGCAAGAAGCCGGAAGAGAGTTCCACAGGCGAGAAAAGAAACTGATAGCAAAGAATTCACATTGAATTTTAACGAATCGATAACCCAAAACTTTTGAGCAGTCCCCTTCTTCCTCATCTTTTTAGCTTACTCCCATTTACTTCCATTCCATCAAAGAAATTATCTCTTTCTCAGTTGCTATCCGCTTTTTATTTTGTTTTATTTTATTACACAGCCTAGATGTGATTGTTGCATTTTAACTAAGCAGGTGCTTTAAGGGACGGGTGGTGTTGGTAACGGTAAAAGTGGTGGTGATGGCCGTAATGGTACAGGATGGGTGGTGGAGCTCTGAAAGCTCCTGCAATTGGCAAATATTTGAAGGTTATTGTATCGCTTTGCACTCGTTTCGGTGCGCAGAAAGAGATGCGCGTGTGTACAAACATATATCTCTTTCTCAGTTGCCATCCGCTTTTTATTTTGTTTTATTTTATTACAAAGCATCGAGCCGGAAGAAATTTCCACGAGCGAAAAGTGTGAAGAAAGAAACTTTTAGCATAGAACTTATGGTTACTTTTAGCCATTTCAACTGTAAATTGATGAGACCTTGCCGCCAATCTAGTACTGCGCTTAAATTTATAAAGTCTTGGTACCATACCAAAGTGTTCATCTAAACAGTTACCATGAAAATATATTTTTTTTTTTTTTTTTTTTTTTTTAGCGTTTCACCCCAAGCAAGGTGGGAAGCCACTAGGATGCAAGGGTTTACAGGAAATAAGATCAGATGATAGAAGAAAAAGGATGAGGGTAGTGGATAGATCAAGGCAACTGGAGTTGTCGATTGACATTACACTTGAATAGCTGGAGATTATAGCTCGCAGGGAAACAGGAGAAGGGAAGGGAGTTCCACAGGCGAGAGGTGCGAGACATGAAGCTATTAGAGTAGAAGAGACGGCTACATTTAGGAGTTTTGACAGTGAGGGGGTGAGAGCGGGATGCCAGCCTCGTAAGGCGCTGGAACTCATGACGTCTGGGAACCAGCGAATGCAGCTCCTCAGAGCAATTTCCATGAAAGTATTTGTAGAACAGACAGAGGGAGGCGACGGCACGTCTGTGAGAAAGTGACTGTAGACGAAACGCCAAGGCAGGGCCAACCATATTGCATATCCGCCTCTGGAGCCTATCAAGAACCCCGAGGCAAACAGAAGGGGCACCAGACCATATATGGCAGCAATACTCCATGCAAGGGCGAATTGTGGATTTGTATAGCTGGAGGATCGACTCGGGAGAAAAACTTAGAAAAGACTTTTTTTTTCTTTTTTTTTTTGAGCTAAGCTAAAATCTGAAAAATTAAATGGTGATTTTCAAGACAGGCATCCTTCTCACTTGAAAGATTATTGCTGCACAATCTTCCTACATTTGCTCTCTCTAGTTGGCCTTGTACCAGACTAAGCTGTGCTTTGTAAATATTTATACTTTTATGAGATATGCCTTGTGTTTGGAGTTTTGTAGATTTCTCAATGGTGGCAGTCGTCAAATTTGTAAGTCCAGAAAAAGTTTTAATTTTCTAGAATTGTGTTGCATCAGTTGTGTCAGACCTAATCTAAGCTTAGTAAATATCTGAGCTTGCTTAGTGGCTTCACACTTTTCTTTTTTTTTTTTCCAAGCAGCTGATTTTCAAAATAAGACACTGCTTTTCGATTTCAGAAGCTTGTTCAACATCTTTTTTACCATTTCTAGATTTTGGCCTGGTGCCTGTCTGTGCTAAATTTAGTAAATTAGCCATAGACCTGAAATGTGAGGCCATAATGTGTTAACTCTAGATAAGTTTTTTTTTTTTTATTTATATATCTATAAAGGAAGGCTACAGATTTCTTGACCAAACTCACTTTGCGAAATCTGTCCAAATGATCAAACATCATATTTTGGGGGGAAGAGCTTCTTGAAAAGAGACAGCTTTTCAACATATGTCTATATCTATCTATCTATCTATATATATATATATATATATATATATATATATATATATCCTTCAAAACTAAGATGCTAAAAGGATGCAACCATGGTTTCAACCATAATAGGTATCATCAGGTAGTACCTCCAGCGTATTGGCTGTTGACAACTTATCTATAGACAGCCACTACTTAGGAGGAGGAAGAGTATGGGGAAAAAAATATTATAATCTGCCTAGCTCATCCTGGCTTATAATTCTCCAACATAAACTTTCTCAAGTGTCTGCATTTTGCCATTATTTCCGATCTTTTGTTAAGTAATTCACTGTTATTAGTATGAGTGGCAATGGCTAGTTTCTCTTCTTGACATAAATTGCAAGATCCACCATTTACTTTTTTCTGTCTGTACTCATTGTAGTACCCATTGTAGAGAAATATTATGTGTGTGTGTATATATATATATATATATATATATATATATATATATATATATATATATATAAAAAAAAATGACAATAGGAAAATTAGTAATTGCTGACGTGTTAGCAATTACTAGTTTTCCTATTGTCATTTTTATTCATAAATATTGTCTTCTCTACTGGTTAAATCGGAGAAATTTTCATATATATATATATATATATAGGTAATAATCTGTTGGTATATAATCCAAGTGAATCCAACTGATCCACAAAAAGAGCTTAATGTATTTATTATGTTGTAATGGAATATCCCACACCCCCTATCGCATACGTGGACTGACTATATCAGTAGGTATATATAGTAAGAACAAGATATATACCTGGCGAACTTACTTTGGGAATTACTAGCCTGCTAACCAATTACGTCTTTCAGTAGTGTATTCTCTTTTACAATAAACCTCACTTCCTTTCTTTCATCTATGCCCATGTTGCTGTTTCTTTCACTTGAGTACCATTTTTGTCTGTCTGTAACCTTCTTTAAGGATATAACATATTATAACAGGACATATAAATTACATGGAATAGTAATCCAAATTTATCTCATTCCTTCATACATCTGAGTTGACTATCCCAATATAGGTCTTCTTCTTGGTTTAAATAGCTATTTAAATGAGGTAAATTTGGATTTCTATTCTATGTAATATATATATATATATATATATATATATATATATATATAAAATTTAAAAAAAAGAAAAAATTCATAACATAAATATGTTATAAAATCACTACAAAAATAGCCATTTTGTTTCAACACACTCAGTGTCTTATCAAGTGATGATGTTGAATGTAAAATAAATGGTTTTAAAAGTTTCAAATTAACAATCCTTCACAAGGGGAAAACGTTACAAAAGCTAGATTGACCAATCAAAATACAAGTATAGGAAAATTCAAAAAGCTTGACAACGAAGTCATGTTATAATATCTATTCAGATGTTTAAAATATAGGTAGTATTAAAAAAGAATTTATTCCAACCAATAATTACTAAATTATATGATAAAATTTAATATTAAAATTAAAAACTGCTAATTTCAAAATCGAAACTTAATCGCTATTAAGTTTACAACTATAAAATTATTGAGGAGAAAAGAAGAAATATGTTATTCAATTTATTTCTTCATTGAAGTTACTTTAGCTAATTTCATATCCGGTCCCTAGACAATGTATACATTTTAATCCTAAGAGTGTGTGAATGGGGTCCTAAACTCATGCCTAAAACAAACGCAATCAGATTCTAATATATAAGCACCCAGACATATTTATTTATTTATTTAAATATATATATATATATATATATATATACACATAAAGAGATGAGACAGAGAACATCTTCACGGTCTGTCATGAAAAAAGAAAAAAAAGGGAAGTTGGGGGGGGGCCGAAGGGAAACCAACACACACATACAAACATACACAATTAAAAGTGAATGCACTCTCCATACACATAGACACCTATAAATACATGCACACACATCTACAGACATTGACCCAGACAATCGGATACCACAACCGATAAATATTTAAGACTGAAATTGTCATTACACAAAAATGCTAACCACTTATTGAAATATAACTTAAGCGAGCAAATATACAAAAGATAAAATGATTAAAAATAGTATTATTTAATATATTAAAATAGTGTATGTAAATATAAAATCGAACATCAAAGTCAACACCCATAGGTAACTTTGATGTCCATATATATATATATATATATATATATATATATATATATATATATATATATATATATATATATATATATATATATATATATATATATATATATATATATATATATATATATATATATATATATATATATATATATATATATATATATATATATATATATATATATATATATATAAAAATAATTTTTCCTTACATACATATATATACACACCAAATACATATACATAAATACACATACATACATATATACCCACAAATAGGTACACAATATTTCTCATTAAAGAGTGAATGTATGGTTGTTGTAATGGATCTCGCTCAGAATGAGAAATCTGGGATTGAGTTTGAAGTTCCGTCAAAATCGTTATATTCACTTCTGCACAAATTCCCCCTGAGAAAGAGATGAATCCATTTCTTCTCCCCAGTTATGGGTTAAATAGTAGGACTTTTATCTGAAAAAAAAATCATTGTTATCTCCGAAACATTAATGCAGAATTTACTTGCAAAAAAAAATATATTTCAGCTTTAAATAACTCACAAAGGGTTGAGAAGCCATAAAAAAAATCCATCAATTGATTGATCTCATTAAAATCGCAAGACAAGCATGTATTTTTGCTAAATGTTTGGTTTATTTTTCAGATTCCAATCCAATTAATAATCCAGCTGACCCCCCATTGAAACTTTCCTAGTAAGTATGTAAAATTCGATAAGGTCTTTTATTTAATTTCTTTTTTTACCTTACTTTATATTCTAAGCATTGAGATCTTACATCCTAGTTTGTTTCAAATATATTTAAAAAGGCAAAGAGAAATCATGTTTATGTCTTGTAGCTTGCGTTTAATAATCCAGATAATGAATGCAGTTGTTCTGTTTTTTTTGCAATTTGTTGAAAGCAAACCAAAATGTGGGACACATAACTTGGTAAGCAAATTAAATAAGACTGATTAGAAATCAGTTTTCATGTTTTCAAGAACCCCAAAACATTCACAGAGATGTATTTTTTGTATGTGATCCTTATTTCATCTATTAGACATTCTTATCTGTCCATGAAAGAAGGAGGAGAAAATCCTGAGAATGGTGGCAAAGAAAGAAAGAAATGAGGATGAATGGAAGGAATAAGTAAATGATAGAAAGTTGGAAGAGGAAAGGAATGAAAATCCTAAAGGAAAAAAAGAAAAGTTAGAGGAAGAAAAAAAAGAAAGAAAGAAAGAAAGAAGGATAAATGGAAGGAATAAGTAAATGATAAAAAGTTGGAAGAGGAAAGGAATGAAAATCCTAAAGGAAAAAAAAAGAAAAAGAGGAAGAAAAAAAAAAAAAAGAAAGAAATAAGGATAAATGGAAGGAATAAGTAAATGATAGAAAGTTGGAAGAGGAAAGGAATGAAAATCCTAAAGGAAAAAAAAGAAAAAGAGGAAGAAAAAAAAGAAAGAAAGAAATAAGGATAAATGGAAGGAATAAGTAAATGATAGAAAGTTGGAAGAGGAAAGGAATGAAAATCCTAAAGGAAAAAAAAAAAAAAGAAAAAGAAAAAAAAAAAAAAATAAGGATAAATGGAAGGAATAAGTAAATGATAGAAAGGAAAGTTGAAAATCCTAGGAAAAAAAAAAAAAAAAAAAAGAAATAAAAAATGGAAGGAAAAAAAATGATAGAAAGTTGGAAGAGGAAAAATTGAAAAAGAAAAAAAAGAAATAAGGATAAAAAAAAAAAGAAAGAAGGGAAAATGGAAGGAATAAAAATGATAGAAAGGAAAGAGGAAAGTATTGAAAATCCTTGGAAAAAAAAAGAGAAAGGAATGAAAATGGAAGGAATCCTAAATGGAAAAAAAGAAAAATGAAAATCTAAAGAAAAAAAAAAAAGAAAAAAAAAGAAATAAGGATAAATGGAAGGAATAAGTAAATGATAGAAAGTTGGAAGAGAAAGGAATGAAAATCCTAAAGGAAAAAAAAAAAAAAGAAAAAAGGAAGAAAAAAAAAGAAAAAGAAATAAGGATAAATGGAAGGAATAAGTAAATGATAGAAAGTTGGAAGAGGAATGGAATGAAAAAGCCTGAAAGAAAGAAAACTTAGAGGAAGAAAGAAATGAGGATGAATGCAAAGAATAAGTAAAGGGAGGAAAGTTGGAAAAGAAGGAAAAAATTCTGAAGGAAAGAAAGAAAATTTAAAGAATGAAAGAAAGATGGAAAAATGGACAGAATAAGTAAAGGGTGGAATGTAAAAAGAAAGGAAGGAAAAAACCTGAAATCTTTTATTAAATCATTTCCCCCCAAGCAAGGTGATAATATGACTAAGACGTAAAGGGTTACTGGGAACAAAAGGGAATGAGAAGACTTTAGGAGAAAGAACCAGAAACCCAATTCTAAACAGGAAAGAAAGGATAAACCTCTACTCCTGTTCACAAGACAGGAAAGCAGTGTGAACAGAGTGCTTTTCTATTCAAACCAATTTGCTCAACTTGATGGTTATACTCAAATTTTGACTATTGTACTCCAGTATTTGTCTTAGAATTTAGAATCAAATCCTTTATTAATCCACTGTTAAGGGGGAGAAGATTGTGCTGATTTCATTAAGCATTCTTCTTCACTCTTCATAATATGGTTACATTTCTTCCACTGGACTAGAGTATTTGAATTTTCAGCACTACCAAACCCAGAGATTGAACTCAAAATTTTCAGACTGGCTTCCCTGATAACCACAATCTTCAAAAATTTAAATGCAACATCACTTGCCCTCTTCTGTCTTCTTGAATCCCATTCATCTTCTGTCCTTACCATAATCCTTTATATTCTCTTTCACTTTTATTCCCTGTAACCCCCTCTGTACTAGTGGCATTCCTGCCTTGCTTGGGGTGAAATGATAAAAAGTTCTAACTAATCCGCTGATTTTTGACAATATAATGTTGAAATTCTGAGATCTTGAAACTAATGTCTGTACTCAGGTGGTGGGACCATAGCAGGGCTGTATGAGGGTCCTGATTCTGGTGGTAGGTCTGTGTTAGTGTCTCGAGTGTAGCAGAGGGACGTTGTGTGTGTCCTGATTCTGGTGGCGGGACTGTGTGAGTGTCTTGAGTGTGGTGGAGGGACTGTGTGAGTGTCCTGAGTATGGTGAAGATCCCGTGTGAGGGTCCTGACTCTGGTGGTGGTACTGTGTGTGTGTGTGAACTCTGGTGGCGGAACTGTGTGAGTGTCCTGAGTGTGGTGGAGACACTGTGTGAGGATTCTGACTTGGGTAGCAGGACTGTGTGTGCACCCCAACTGGTTGCAGGACTGCATAAGTGTCCCGACTCTGGTGGCAGGACTGTGTGAGTACAGGACTGTGTGTACAACCTAACTGGTGGTGGGTCTGTGTGAGCGTCCTGGCTCTAGTAGCAGATCTGTGTGTACTTTCCAACTCTGGTGGAACTCAGCTTGGCCAGTGTAATTATTTTTTCAGTGTTCTTTCTTTCTTAATCATACTAATTAACTACAAAGGATTAATGACTATTGCCAACTATTGTCAAGTGGGATGAATTGACCCTAGGCTGCCAGGATCATTGACATAATAGTTTAGCAATGAGAAAAGTTGTAATGATTGTAAAAAGATAAATATAATTTCACTAAAAGTTGCAGAAAAATAGCAGCTTTGAAAGCAGTCCATTCAACTCATTATGCTTTACAATTGAAGACTGAAAGGGTTTTACAAGTTCTTTAAAGCAAGTTTATTCAACTGTTTGTACTTGCGCCCTAATTGGTTAGGAGTAAAACCAATTTGCATGTCACTGACCTCATCTAGTAGGGTGATTTTTCTTTTTTCTTTTTTCCTTTTTTTTTCCTTTTTCTTCTTTTTTTCCTTTTTCTTCTTTATTGCTTTTTTCTTCATTTTTCTTCTTTTTTTCCTTTTTCTTCTTTTTTTCCTTTTTTTTTTCCTTTTTCTTCTTTTTTTCCTTTTTCTTCTTTTTTTTCTTTTTTTCTTTTTTTCCTTTTTCTTTTTTTTCCTTTTTTCTTTTTTCCTTTTTTTTTTTTTCTTTTTTCTTCTTTTTTTTTTTTCTTCTTTTTTTTTCTTTTTTCTTTTTTTCCTTTTTCTTCTTTTTTCCTTTTCTTTTTTTTCTTTTTTTTCTTTTTTTCCTTTTTTCCTTTTTCTTCTTTTTTCCTTATTTTCCTTTTTCTTCTTTTTTTCCTTTTTTTCCTTTTTCTTCTTTTTTTCCTTTTTTTCTTTTTTCTTTTTTTCCTTTTTCTTCTTTTTTTTTTTCTTTTTTTCTTTTTCTTCTTTTTTCTTTTTTCTTTTTTTTCTTTTTTTTCCTTTTTTTCCTTTTTCTTCTTCTTTTTCCTTTTCTTCTTTTTTCCTTTTTTTCTTTTTTTTCCTTTTTTTTTTTCTTTTTCTTCTTTTTTTTTCTTCTTTTTTTTTCCTTTTCTTTTTCTTCTTTTTTTTTTTTCCTTTTTCTTTTTTTTTCCTTTTTTCCTTTTCTTCTTTTTTTTCCTTTTTTCCTTTTTCTTTTTCCTTTTTTTCCTTTTTCCTTTTTTCCTTTTTTTCTTTTTTCTTTTTTTCCTTTTTTTTCCTTTTTTTCTTTTTTTTCTTTTTTTTTTTTCCTTTTTTTTTTTTTCCTTTTTTTTCTTTTTTCCTTTTTTTTCCTTTTTCTTCTTTTTTTTTTTCTTTTTTCCTTTTTTTTTTTTTTCTTTTTTCCTTTTTTTTCTTTTCTTCTTTTTTTCCTTTTTCTTCTTTTTTCCTTTTTCTTCTTTTTTTCCTTTTTCCTTTTTCTTTTTTGCCTTTTTTCTTTTTTTCTTCTTTTTCTTGCTTTTTTCTTTTTTTTTTCTTTTTTCTTTTTTTTTCTTTTTTTGATTTTTTCATGATAGCATTTTGACCATCAAGGTACGTCACTGTTTTCTTCTGTACAGTGATATTGCCAAAAGAAAGCTAAACACTGTTGCAATAATTCATCCTCTTTTTTGTGATTTTTCAGTATTACAACGTCTGATCAGAATCTTACAAAAAACAGTTCTTCATCCTGTACTCGGACATCGCCCAAGCGGTCAAATCGCACTACTAGCATAACAACGGACAGTGAGATTGGTCTTGCTGGATGCTTTGAAGTCCTTCAAGACTACTTGAAGAAGGTTTGGCTTTAATTAATTCTACATACTTACCCATGTTTCTTAACCTATCCAGCTGAGACATCCTTATTCCAACAAACCCCTTTTATTAAATACTAGCAGTAGAGCCCGGCGTTGCCCGGGGATGTAACAGTAAGAGATTGATCAAGTATCGACCATCATAAAGACTGAAAAATAAAATTGACAAAGATTATTGTTTAAGGTTGACGGACACGCATGTCTTAATTATTTTTTTTTTTGTTTTTTTTTTTACGAATTGGTGAAACCCAAACTCAAACAAAAACATTGTTTTCAATTGTTATGAGTCTATCGATTGAATAGAATTTTATTATAAACAATTGTCTTGTAAATGAAATTTTTAAAGCATTCTGAATGTAAAAATAAAGTAAAAAGTGTGCAAGACAATAAGAAACACTACCTGCCAAAAAAAGTGAAATTTTGTTGAAATCGGTTGAAAAATGTAGGAAATCTGATCCCATATATAAATGAACACACACACACACACACACACAAACAACCTGAGTTTTTATAAGTATACTTGATATGAATTGTCCCCCTTTCATTCTGGCGACAATTGTGTTTTTCCAATTTTTGGTGCTGTCAGAATCACCGCAAGATAATTTTACGCAATCCTGTGAAATTTTGTTGAAATCAGTTGAAAAATGTAGGGAATCCGATCCAATATATAAACGTACACACACACACACAATCTGCGTTTTATAATAAGTAAGATTCATGAAATCTTCTCCCAACCCTTATTTGAGTTTTTGAGCATCCTACAACAGTTGGTACCTCCACTTTCTCACTAAAAAACCACAATGAAAAAAAGGCCCCAAACTTGAATAAAACAAAGTTTTCTCATCAAAATGTTTGTTATTACTAAGAGGAAAGATCAAAGTATTTTTTGGTGATTTTATTAAATTTTTTAATCCTTTCTTGCATGTTCGAATTTTTGGTTAAAAATCTTTTTTTTTTTGTGTCAGTGTCAAAGATTACTTAATGATTACTATGGGAGTTTTAGCACCTTTTTCTGGTAAAAACACATTGATTTGGAAATTCTTGCAAAAATCAAATAATTGTCAGATTTTAATGAAACTGTCAGGACTTATTCACAAATGAATGAAATTATTTTGGGATTTTTTCTTTTTTAGAAAATCTTGGTAAAAATATTTTTTTTTTTTTCACATCTTTTAGAACATTTACTTAATTTTATGAAATTTTGAGAAATTAAAATTTCACCTTTTTCATATTTGTATTAGTTAAAAGCAGGAGTCCTTGAAGAATTTAAATCCTCAATTTGTTTTTGTCAAAAAGCATTTACTTAAAATCTGCTCTGAATCGTAAAATAAAAAGTGCAATAAAACTATGAAATTATTCAATTAGAAAAGCTTTTAATTGTTTTTATAAATAAGATATATTAAGGACACTATTGTCTTAAAAAAAAAAAAATTTTCAATGAATAATGAATTTTTACAAGAATTGTTTTCATTTTAATTAGAAAAATTTATTAAACGTTTTAAATATTTTAAAATTCTGTATTAATATCAGCCTTTTAGATTATATTATTATTAAGTGACAACTATATTTACTAATCATAAATTGTAATACAAGTCTTCAAACACCAAGAGTTTTAAAAGAATTTTGAATTTCTTTTATGTATATAAATATGCCCATTTTTTAAAGTATGGGCCACCATACATGACATCATCAGAAAATAAAAGCGATGACTATGGTATATTTAAAGTCAACATTCCTAAAATTAGATTACGGAGAAAATTTTTAAAAAAATTTAAGATTACTGAGTACTTAAAAATTATAAAAAAAGGCACTCCTGACTTTTTCTTAAATTATGTTTTACAGATAGTCAACAATCATCACCTTGTTATCACTCATCAAACATGTAAAACATGGCTAATGTCAGTTAAAAACACAGCTACCGTTTTGTTTAAAAAAATGTGTTTCTGTTTTATTTTAAACTTCAAGTAAATAATATTTGTTTCAGATCAGATCAATTATATTTTAAATCTGCTAATATTCCTCAAATAAACTTTTAGAAAAGTATATTTGGAACATTTTTTAAAAAAGAGAATTTCATTGTGATGAAAGACAAATAAAAAATAGCACTAATCAGCTATTTTAGGAAAAAGACCTATTTCTAGTCAATTTAAATTAGTTTGAAATTAGTTTTTGAAATACAGCAAAGTATTTTGGTTATTGGAAATATCAAATTTAATCCATTAGCTTGAAATTAAAGCTAAAATAAAAACGTTAAGATAGATTTTTCATTTTTAAAAATTCATTTTAAAACTAAGGTATCATTTTTTTGTGGAGGTACTTATACAACAGTATTTTCTTATAGAAAATTTTAATAAGATTATTAAAAAAAAAATCTTCACCAGCCCTTTTTATTACATCCACCATGTTAATTTGAACATCAAATGTAGGAAGTTATCTTAAACGAGTTACGAGTTAGGTTTTGAAAAAGGCACCTTCACTTTTTAGGCAATTCTTTAAAATCCAAAGGGTAACCTCAAACTTTTGGCCTATAGTGTATGACATCTGATCAAAAAGTATCAGGACTGGTGCTATAAAAAGAAAATTATATCAATTCAGTATTTAACCGCCTTTGAAGTAGTTACCTTCTGGAACCACACACTTTATCCATTTTTGTTTGTATTGATGGAAGGATTCTTGGAACTTTTTTTTTGGGATAGGGAGCATCTGCCTCGTCGCATTCTCTTGGATTATCTTGACATTTTGAAATTCTGTTCTCTTCAAGGGGGATTTGATTTTTGAAGAGGGGAAAAAGTCGCACATGAGATCTGGGAAAAATGGTGGTTGTCAGACCTAGGGAATGTTGTGCTTAGTCAAAAAAAGCTTCACAAGCCATGGTCACTGATGGAAACTCTGGTGTGGTGAGATGACCACACTCTACACACTTTCCTTCCAAGCACAGCTATAAACAACAGAAGTGAGTGAGAACATTATAACTTAGTGTGTTTGTGGGATACTTTAGCTCTGTTATCACAGCAACAGTCCTGATACTTTTTGATCAGACCACATATAATCTTTGATTTAAATTCCTTTTGAAACTTGGAGGAAATAGTCCTTCTTTGTATTTTTGTTATGTTGCTGCTATTATATTTTTGTTTTAGTTTTCCAAAATGTCTGACAGTTAAAGATCTCAGGTCAATTTGCTATGCTTCTGAAGGCCTGGCATAGTGGACAGTCGAATTGCACTATTAAGTAATAGGAAATTCCTTGAAATCCTGAGCATAGTCTGAAACTGTTGGCCTATAGTGATTTGAAGCTTGAAGTAAATAAGCCATCTTTATATTTTTTTGTTGTTGCATTTTTTTTTTTGTTTTGTTTTAGCTTCCAAAATGTCTAACAGTTAAAGAACTCCGTCAATTTGCCATGCTTCTGAAGGCTTGGCATAATGAACCAGGAACCACCACAAGTGAATTCTGTGAGAAAGTTTTTAATCTCTATGGCCAAGAGAGAAAACATATGTTGGCAGGTAAGTTTCTTTACATCATCTACAACTCTCTTTCTTTCTTTTTTTTTTTTTATGAAATATTCTTATTAGTCCATGAGTGACTTAAATCAGTATCCTCATCTTTGTTGTTTTGATTCCTCAATTTGGGATGATGGGTTCTTCAAACCACTTAGTATCGTTTAAGATTTTGAAATATATCATTTCATCTCATCATATCATCTCATTTGATTATGATTCTTATTGCTGGGTTCATTAAATACAGTTGCACTCTAACTTTTGGTCATCTTTCAGGAACTATTTCTGGAGGAACCCATGCCACAAAGAGAAAGAGGAGTCTTAAAGTAGCAGATATTACTGAGTACAACACACTCACCAAAAATGGTGACATTACATGTAAAGACTTTACACTATACGAGGAAGGCCATAGTGCAGTAGTTGAAATTTCCCAGTGATAACGATGACACTGAAAACTAATTCATGGAATAATAACTTCATTTTAAAATTTCAACCATTATTAGGCTCAAGGACGCATTAGCTTAAATTCAGGGATGAAAACAACAAAGAAGTGGATGCTGGTCTGAATAAGAGCTGGAAAAACGATAATATTTCATCTTACAATTTGAAGCAATTCTAAAATGCTTTATAATTTAAAGATGAGGATAATTATTAATTTTTGACTAGTCATCTTCATCGATATCACACTAATTTCTTGCTCTTTATCACGACTTACTAAGTCAAATAGTCTTTGGGCAAATTTGCTAATAGTGTAAAGTAAGAATAAAGAATTGTCTTTTGATATGACTTAAACTCCTTTGCCATGTACTGAAAACTTGTCTTACATTGTTATTGTAACTTAGCGCATGAAAAGATGGAGATATTTGCCTGCAAAATTTATTTAATATGCGTCTTTAACAACGCTTGAATAATTTGATTGAATGTAATTGAGAAAATTACGTTTGAACAATTTTTTTTTTATTATTGATGAATTTTAAATTTATTTTGCCCTTTTAACGAGAGGACAACTAGAAGTTTGATAATAAGAGTTGCTTCCCTTAGATAGGATTATTATAATTGAAAGAAACTACAGTACAACTCGTCTAAACCTAACATTCGAGAGATGCTCGGTATCGAGTGTACTGTTTGGATTCAAGGAAGAAAAGGATGCTGTGGCAAGCTTATAATTTTTATTAAGTTTTAGTTTAGCATACAAAAGGTAGTTTATAACGTTGATTCATTTTTATTTAAAATGTAGAATTGTAGATTCAATACATAAATGTACAAAAAAATAATTGACAACCAATACTAGTGACAAAATTTGTGTTAAATATTGTAATTTGTAAAAAAATAAGACACTTTATGTAATATTTAAAAATTTATGAAACATCTTATTCAAAAACAATTACAATCTGTAAAGGAAGACAAAAATAATGATATACAGTACAACTCCTTTAAACCGAACATCCAAGATGTGTTTGGCATTGAGGGTACTGTTCTAATTTGAGGAAGAAAAAGCTGCATATTTATGTTAATACACAAGTTCAGATTTGAAAATGAGTCCAAATTCGAAGAAGTCTAGATTATGCTATGTTTGGATTTGGGGATTTCTACTGTATATCATTATAATTTATAATAATGGTGGTGACCAGTCTCGTCTCTTAGACCATTATTACTTTAATTTCCTGCTCCGTATTTGTGTCCTTTGTGTCGAAAATATTGAATTAGAATGCCTTGCTGTGGGGCAGTGGTTAGCAGTCTTGTCTCATGCATCAATCTAGTTTGATCTTTACTAAATATTTCATCTTTGGAAATTTTTTCCTTTTATGAAGATTTCATTTTAATCTGCTTTGTGTCTAAAGTGTAGTTGTTTTCCACACCTGCACACAAGATCAGTGTTTGAGCTGAGGTAAAAGTCAGATTTTAAATACTGATCCTCAAGGTAAGCACTCTCTTCCTTGGATATAGATGCAACATTGTCTTATGCCACATTCAGCTAAACTTAATAAATATATAATTTATCAGTTATTAGGAAAAAACTGTAGCCCACTTGTTAGTTGTGTTTTCTGGCTTAGTTTTCTGGCTTTCATTTTCCCATTAAATCTATCTCTTCTCCACCCAGCTGTGGGTGAAATGGTTGGGTAGACTGGACACTCACTGGCAGGACAGGGTGTGGTTAGTAAAGATTAGTAAAATGTTAAATGTTGCTAAGAACTACAAAAGACAGGAAGTTGGGGACAGCCATAATCGCCCATGTTCTATAAAAGAAAAAAGCACTATGTAAACAACTTTGCTGAGTAAGAGGTTTCCTTTCCTGCAGCAAATAACTTTGATAAATTTGAACTTGGTGGTGTTGTCTTATCTTGCTATGGTAACAACACTGGTTGTTATTGACAAAAGAGCCACTGCAGTTGAGGGTTCTTGAAAAACAAGGCAGTGGAAGTAATATGTAGAATGCTTAAGATTAACAAAGCTGCCTATAATTAATGTTTTATAACTGAACACAAATTATCAAGAAGAATTTCTCTGAGGTTTTTTTGTTTTTTACTGATGTTATGATAGAATTATTGTAAAAAAGTTGCATGTGTGGGAAGAGTAAGAGGTAAGAAGTGCATTTTGCAAGGATATGTGGAAAAAAAATAATGGTTTACCCTAGACTTGAAGAGGTTAAGATAGTAATGGTTGAGAAAACATCATCTTGAGAATCGGTTCCGGAAAGAAGCTGTCTGAGTGAAACTTCCTTCTTATTAATGAAATATGAAAGGAATAAGGAGCGTTCATCCCAGTCTATGTGACAAGGCAGGTCTTAGTTTAGAACAGGTGATAGTAAGGAATGTATTTCTATGGAAATAGCAATAGAGTAGCAATAGACTTGCGCCCTCTGTGGAAAGGGGTTGTAAGGTTGAAAATAATAATTCATGACCCACAAGGCCACATAGATGCATCTGAACTCTATCAAGACTGGAAAGTGAGGACTGAGCAGCTCCATCTCAGATATGGCAGCAATACTCCATATATGAGTTCTACTTGATGTTCGGCATGAACTTCTGTTTCAATTAAAGAGTTTCTTTGAGAAAACCCCCATTTGTCATGATAGGTGAGAATTCAGAGTTTATGGAATGTTATTTTCTGAAGTATTGAATGTGACCAGCTAGTTTTTTCCACCTATTGAGATATGTCAGGTTAGAGGAAAAATCGGCTTCTAGTCTCTGGTCATCTTAATTTTTGGAGCTTCCCCGATATGACCTTGTATCATCTGCATAGATATTTACTAAATATTGGAGTATGCTCTTAGTCAGATCATTAATATAAAGCAGAATGTGGGTAGAACTGAGAAGTGACCTTTATATCTAAAATTAAAGAGTTGTTGTTAAAAATTGGTTAAGAGGTACCAGAGAAAGAAAACTCTGATTTCAAACCTCTGCTGCCTTGCAGCCATGCCCAGTCACGTGAAGGGTTTTGGAAGTAAACCCTGAAGACAAATCTGGAGCTGGAGTCCCTGTCTGATGTTATGTTCAACTTCGTTCTGGCAACTCCAGTGACGACACCCAAGCCAAACGGCATTGGCCTCTACATTTCCCTTTGACAACATCGGTGGCATGGAGAGGGGAGACATGCTGCATGGGCAACTGCTGATCTCTCATAAAATCCTGCACCCTGGAGAGGACAGATGCTGTGCCTTCATTAGTAGCTCAGGTATAATGCTTTGGGTGCAAATCCATGATTTCTTGAGACAGACAGATGCTGCATAAAAAAGTAAAAAAAAGGAGGTACACGACCTGAAATGTTCTGGGCTCTGGACATGTTGAGTTTTGATGTTAGAATATAACTTTTAAAATTCATGATTTGTGATTGTTTTCTGAAAAAATATAATTGAAGAAAGCAGATGAGCAAAAATAATCTTTTATAATAATAATGATGATAATAATAATAATAATAATAATAATAATTAATAATGATAAATATAGCATACTTACCTTTTATTTTATTTTATTATTTTTTTTATTTTAGGAATGGGACCTTTTATTCCTGCTGAAGAGTATCATGTCTTTGAAGAATTCTTGAACAAGAATTCTGTAACGTTACCAGCAAATGGACATGGCACTATTTCAAGTTATCGAAGCTACACTCCACAACGCAGGTTTGTTGTTCATTTTGTATTATTAGAATTATTTTGCAACATGCTGACGTTTGTGGAAATCTTCACAGTATTTACTATTGTTGAAGTAATTACTAACATTTTTTGTTGAGATTTACAAACTTTACGTTTCATTCAATTGCGCAAACCAATTGATGAAAATTGAATAAGCTGATTTGTTTGGAAAAAAACACTACATCACAGTTTAATAATTTCTTTAATTTAATAGAACTTCATGGTAAACAATATTTTTTACGAGAATATCATTTTTTTTTCCTTTGTCTTTTTAACAGTGAAAAATAAATTCTTATAGTTTCTTACTTTTGAGCATACAACATACAACTGGCCATGCATAAATATTTCTTTCTGGAGCTAAATTCCAACTTTTTAAAGCATTTGGCCTTAGTGATTTGTTTATAGTTCTCACAAATGTAGGGTGAACTGGAAACGGGATTCTTGTATATAAAAACCTAAAGAAAAGATATGCAAAAAACACGTATTTGTTATTTTAAACATTAAATTACTTTTAAAATGGTGTGAGTATTTTGGATGTTAAATAATAGAACTTTTAATTTTTCCAAAAAATTAATGAAAATTTATTGTACTAAGCTACGCATACTAGTAAAAGCAACTGTACTTTGTACCCCCACCTTACTTGTTTGCACTTTCCCTAAAATTTGCTTTCAGTCAGTCAATGTATGGCTACTTTAGAGGATGTGGTAGATAGAAGTCACAGAATTTTATATATAGATATTTTCAAATGGTCATTGATAAACCTATTTGCTTTCAAGACATTTTTAGCTTTTTGTAGACAGTTACTTCATAAAAGACTGTGGATGATTCATTGCCTGTGAGCAAATAATTTTTTCTCTTTTGTTTTCTTAAAAAATTATATTTTTCTTGTTCTTAATTTATTCATCTCTTTGTATTTTTGTTATTCTATCATTGCTTCTTCCATATATAAAGGCATGAAAAGCATCAGCAAACATTTATTAATCCAACATGTTTTTTACCATATAAATAAATCTCTTTCAAATTCTTTCATTGCTTCTTACATATATAAACAATGTTTCAAAAGCATCGTCAAACATTTATTAATCCAATGATTTTATAATGTATTTACATTATCAACAAGACCCCACTTCTAAAGGGCTTATGAAACACTGCTTTTCATACGATCACTGAAGTTAAGCAACACAAGCTTGGTTAGTACTTACATTGGTGACTGCTTGGGAATACCAGGTTCTGTACGCTTGAGTCTGTGTGTAGTGCAATGGATAATGGCTGAGAGTTGTTAATCAAAGAACCGAGTTCCCATTTGGTTTATTATATTCATTTATGTGCAAATATCCTTGGGGAAAGATATGAATTCACCTCTTTTTCCGCCAGCTATGGGTTGATTAGTAAGAATGTTATCATTAAATTACTATTATCTCAAAAAGAAAATTCTTTCAATCTAAAAATATTTCTGACTTTAAATAACCTGCAATGGTTGATAAGCTGGAGAAAAGAAATAAAAAAGAACATAAAATGATAAAGAAAATGTGGAGTGAGTATCCATGGTTAAATTGCAAAATAAATGACAGAACTGTCCAACAAACAGAATTGACAAAGTTTGCAATAAGCAAAAAAAAAAAAAAAAAGAACAAGGCAAAAAAAATAATATAAAGCAAGCAAACAATATATGCAAGGCAAAGCAACAGTAATATGGCAAAAAGTTCACAAATCAAGAATTGGGGTTGATACACAAAAGCAGGTTCGAACAAGTGAATGTAGTGTTCTGACTTCAAGTCAAGACAGACCGAGACTGATTCAGATGAAACCGAGAACCAGCCTATTTTATTGGCTAGGAAAAAATCCCAGCATGCATTTGCGTGTTTCTGCTTATAAATTGAGGAGAGGCAAGGGTTTTGCAGTCATTCCTCTATGGATTGAAACCAACAGAAAAAAAATGAATATTTTTGATTCTGACAAATGTCATGCTTTTAGAAAGATCTAAAGAATGCTAATCTAAAAACATGAATTCCAAAAGATATTTTTGTGGAGAATTACCTTAAAGGTCCAAGAGAGCTAGAGCAGTGTAGTCTAAATTTGTGAGTGAATTGCTAGTGCGGCATACCCTCCCAGCATTGGTGCTGGAAGGATGTATCAGTGAGTCAGATCAAGGCTGGCAGCATTCCCAATGTGCAAATTCTCTGGCTTGGCAAGAACATATAAAAAAGGCAAGTTTTTGTTGAGTCGGCAGAACAGGCTTGCGTGTTCAGTGCAGTTCATGTCAGCGTGTACTAATCCAGAATTCATTGTGAGGGTTTTTCCAGTGTCTGTGCTACAGAATCCCAGGTTTCCTGCTATGATTTTACAAGTGGACTAGAGTACTTAAGTAGTGCCAGCATTTCATCCTGCTGTACAATGCCATCTTCACACTACTGACTTGACAAAAGTTTAGCTCTGTTGATATGGTTGGGATGTTTTACTGCATTCACTTCAAAGACCTCATTTGATACTTTTAGATTATTCTCTCTGTCAGTGTCTCAATTGACATTTATCCAGAAGTATTACCATATGGATAATCTTGTTGCAGAGGTACACTAGTTGCTTGATGCCATTCCATTTCAAGAGCATATATATATATATATATACTGATGCACCAATGAGACACATGCATCAATCTCGGCCCGGTGGCTAGGATCAAAGTGTAGTATCTGTGCTTTGTGAGCTGCCCGAGCCTGGTGTCTGTCAACTCTCTGCTTGCAGAGAGGAACGAACAACTCCGCCCGAAAAGTAGGGTTTTAGTTCGGGGAGGTTAACCAGAACTAGCCAGCTTGGACGGATTTAGATGGGTTTTATTTTGGCTGAGCCTACGGGCTCCGACATACCCACATTAAAAAGGCCTTGTGCCACATTCAATTCCTGTGGGTGAATTGATAAATACCATCAATCTCGGCCCGGTGGCTGGGATCAAAAGTGTAGTATCTGCGCTTTGTGAGCTGTCGGTCGGTGTCTGTTGAACTCTCTGCTTGCAGAGAGGAACCCCGGATGAAGCTCCGCCGAAGGGTAGGGTTTTGTTGGGGGAGGTTGACGGAACTGGCCTGCCTCGGCGGGTTTGGATGGTTATTTATTTTTGGCTGGGCCTACGGGCTCAGAGATACCCACATTAAAAAGGCCTTGTGCCACATTCGATCCCCGTGGGTGGATTGATAAATACCATCAATCTCAATGTCAACTGCATTGGAAAGAAGAATAGTTGTGTTTGTAACATGTATACCTGAAGTTACTCTGTATATCTCTCTCATGAAAGCATTACTTTACTTTTTTACATTTCTTCTAACTGTTTGTACCTTACTTTTTCAAACATTCTGCTTAGAGATTTACACCTTTTCAGACATTCCCACCAAACGTTTATACCATTTCGCACATTCCCCCTAAATGTTTACACATTTTCAAACATTTCTCTTAAATGTTTACACCATTTCAGACATACCCCTTAAAAATTAAGACACCTTCTTGGACATTCTTCTTAAATGTTTACACCTTTTCAGACATTCATCTTAAATGTTTACACCATTTCAGACATGCCCCTTAAAAATTAAAACACCTTTTTCGACATTATTAAATGTTTACATAATTTCAGACATACTCCTTAAATGTTTACACCTTTTCAGACATACTCCTTAAATGTTTACACCTTTTCAGACATACTCCTTAAATGTTTACACCTTTTCAGACATGCCCCTTAAATGTTTACACCTTTTTGAACATTCCGCTTAAATGTTTACACCATTTCAGACATACCCCTTAAATGTTTATGCCTTTTTGAACATTCCTGTTAAATATTTAAACTTTTGCAGACCTTCCTCTTAGATGTTTGTAACTTACTTTTTAGACATTTCTTATGCATTGAGAAGATGAACAATTACAGAATTATTTTAACAGTTATAGACATTTTATAAACACAACCCTTAAAAGTTTACACAATTTCGGATGGTCCTCTTAAATGTTTACACCATTTCAGAGATACCCCTTAAAAGTTTACACCTTTTGGGGCATTCCTCTTAAATGTTTGTACCTTACTTTTTGGACTTTCCTCATGCACTGAGAAGATGCAAAATTACAGAATTATTTTAACAGTTATAAAATTTTTTTAAATTTATAATTATTTAATATTCTGGACTGGGCAGAGTGTACTTGGACTTAGTGGAAATGGGCAAGAAAATACCTGAGAATTTTCAAAAATAAGAATTAGAAATATCCCTAGATCATCCAATGAAACCACAACAGTCTACCCCATAGATAAAGGATTCAGTTCTGAATTGCCTGTAGGTTATTCAGATCAATATACATCTGATAAAGTCTGGCGAGGGGGTATAACTGCCAAAACATTGTGATAAAAACAACAAAGATAGGACATCTGAATGTAAATCGTGTAAGTAATGTTAACTCCTCATCCCAGAAATTCAGACAGAAATTAAACATAAAACACTGATCTAATTGTTAAACTTTTATATATGTTTTTTTTTTGTTTTTTTTAGCAACTCTGTGAGTGACATCGGCACCACCACGCACTCAATGAACGGAGCAGACTCTGACGAATTTGATCGAATGATTGATTGCTTCTCAAATCAAATTGATTTGATGGAAAGCAGCGTTGAAGTTGACAGTGTTATGTCTTAAGTACTGCTGCCATGGTTGAACAGAAAATAATGCAAACATTTTACTGAATGCCCTGTACACATCAGCTTGTCTTAACAACACAATAACATTTAAAATAAATTCAGAGTTTTTCCTCTAAAAAGCCGAAATCTCTCCGACTGTGAAATCAATCAATTGCCAGCTTTCTTTTGTTTTTCTTTTTTGTTTTTTTGTTGGAAATGGGTTAAAAAAAATTAAAAAAATTTATATGAAAAATATTGTAATTTTTGTACTTTTTATTAATATTCTTATACTCCCTTTGCAGGTGATTTTTCTGACAATATGCCTATATATATATATATATATATATATATATAATATAAGTGGACACTGATATCGGTATCAAGTCTGAAGATTGAGTTCAAGTATGAAACAGAATGTTGCCATTTGATGTTGACCTCAGTGTCCACTTTTATGTTTACTCACTATATCCTTGATATTGATCACATTTACCTGTAAATATTGCATACCTTAAAACTATATTTTTATCAAATATACATATATACAGAGTGTGATGGGTAATTTTATCTTTTTAATTTCATGCATGCAAGTTGTTTGGTTTTGATTTTGTCAACAGCGTTATATAGTAGGGTCAGTTTGGCACCGTCTGAGAGAAAAAAGAGCACCATGGCACAATTCATTTTACCAGAAATATGGAACAGCATGCTGTACTGCTTGAATTTCAGAGTTTTTGGTTCTGAGGACAGTGGAGAGGATTTGGAATGAGTTGGATGATATATCCTGTCAACATCATGGTGTTTGGAGGGATCATTAGTGATGTCAATATTATGCCTCCATTCATTTTCCCACAGGGCCTCAGACTCATAACAAGGCCTACATCAAGTACCTTGAGGAGGTAGTGTTGCCCTGGGTCAAGAGGGTGGCTGCTGGAAGATTCTATGTCTAGCAACATGACTCTGCTCCATGCCACACAAGCAGGAGGACCCAGTCATGGCTGTCAGACAATTTCTGTGACAACATCACCCCTTATATCTGGCCACCTAATTCCCCAGACTACCACCCTCTTGATTATTACGTGTGTGGCACAGTTGAGCAAGAGACCAACAAAACTCCTTGTAACACCAAGGATGAACTGAAGGCAAGGATTATGGCAGCATTCACTAACTTAACAAAGAAACCGTCCAGAAGATTTGCGGCAGATTTCAAAGTCATCTGGAGGACGTGGTTCAAACCAATGGCGATTTTACTATTTAGTATTTCAAGATATATTTGTGTAATTTTGGTAAATGTATCTATCAAAATGAGATACCAGTGTTATTTTTATTTTTGCATAATTTAGACGTCAATTTATCCATCGCACCCTGTGTATCTATATGTGTGTGTATATATATATATATATATATATATATATATATATATATATATATAGTCTTTCACCAACAGGGCGAGTCATGTGTTGTACTTGATTTCTGTTTTTCCAGCTGTAAATTGATAGCTTGTTTATTGTTTATGCTGCACAGTGTACAGGAGGTTAGAAATCAATGAATGATGTGTTTACCTTACAATTTATTCAGGTGTTTGGCAGGAGAATTATTAAGGAAATTGTGTTATGTGCAATGTTCAAGATGCCATCCCTTGTGAACAATGCATTATTGCATCTGAGCAAGCACCGAGTGGCACACACACTCTGGCGGAGTTCAATATCAATTTTCCCCTTTGTTGACAGTCATTTCCATCTTCATTTTATGAATGGTATGAGACTTTTCCCAATAAACAAAGTCTTTCCTGGGTGCCCAAACAAAGATATCTGGAGGTGTGGGGTCTGGGGAAGTGTAGCAATCACTTAATCAATTCATTTTCTGCACACACATATACATGCATATATATATATATATATATATATATAATGTACAAAGAGAAAGAGCTATCACTATGTATATTGACAAACACACACATTTTATTTATATATATATATAAATATATATATATATATATATTTTTTTTTTTCGAACATATATTGTTAAATATAGCAGACAATGAATGTCTGTTAGGCTTGATCATGAGCCATTCTAAGCTTTGTATAGTTGCTTTAGTTTCGGGAGAAAATAAAAACAAAAACTGTCCAACATTTGGATATATTTTTATTATGCTGTTCCTTAATCTAAGCTTTCTGCATACATGAGCCATGATCAGAGTGGTTATATGGACATTTCAGCAAAGATATTCATCATCAAAGATGATATCCTGTTATGTTTACATAGAAGTTTGTTATGCTATAACGGTCACAGAATAGAAGACACAGGTCATAAATTTATGATGAACTTCTATGACGACATACCATATATCTGTCAAAAGAGAGCTATCACTATATATAGACACACACACACATACAGATATATATATATATATATATATATATGGACTGAAGATGTATTATGCCTATCAACCTACCCATTTGATTCATGCAGTAAAAACATTTTCTTTACTGAAATTCCTAGAATGTGCCGGCAATAGGTATATTACACACAGGTAAATAAAAAAAATTGGGTGTGTATTTCATGTATGAAGTGTTCACTACATTAACATTTCAAGCAATAGTAAATATATATATATATATATATATGCACACAAACATGTATATACTGCACTCTCCCCCTACATATATATATATATATATATATATATATATATATATATATATATATATTCTACACACTCATATAATAATGATGAAAGCGGAGTCCTTAGAAATCTGTTGATAATAATTTATTTCACGGGATTAAACATATATATATGCACACACACTTATGTATAGACTGCACTTTCATACACACACACACACGCTAACACACACATACATATATATATATATATATATATATATATATTGCACTCTCATCTATGTAAACATATGTAGAAAAGGATATGGCTGTCGTTGTACATCAATACAACAAATCATAACAAAATGTCCTCTGCTTGCTTCTACACACGCATGCGTTTTACTGTTGAATTAGTTAAATGTAGCCTCCACTTCTACTCCAATAGTTTTTTTTTTCCCACAATCCCCGCCTGTGGATCTCTCGTTTACTTGCTTTCCTGATAACTGCAATCTTCAAAAACTTAAATGCGACGTCAATTGCCATTATTTATCTTTTCGAACCCTGTTCAGCTTTTATCCTTTCCTTTGCATCCCACTATACCCAGTCTCCCCTCTCAACTTCACTCTTTGTAATCCCTGCGAAATAATAACATTCATTGCGTGGGGTGAAATGATTAAAATTTTAAAAAAAAATGCGGTTGTCGGATCAGTGACTGGTGGACCCCTTCAAATACTCCCAGTGTCGAATGGTTTCTCAGGCCCGCATGAAACGTTGATGATCTAAAGAATTAAGATCGGTATGAACCACATGCGTCATTGTAATAGCAGGCGTATATCTTCTAGCAGGTCTGGAAGTGTGTTCGAAATAAAGATCCTGTAGACAATTCCTGCAAAACGTCCTTGGAGAACATTGGAACCTAACAGGTAGTCACCTACAATTCCAGCCATAATCGTAAACTGATGCTGGTGTCCAGCCTTTATTGTAGCATGGAAAATCCGATCCACACATAAATACTGGTTGTGTAAATTTGTTATTCCATCTCTTCCAAATGGTGCCTCATCCATAAAAAAAACATGTCTGAAGGAAGAAACAACAGATCGGCAGTTTGTGTAATAAACCATCGGCAAAAGTTCTCCTGTGGTGAGTGATCAGAGGGCGAAAGACCCTGCGCACGTTGGAAATAATACGGATACAGGAACTGCTTGTGAAGTACCCACTATGCGTTAGTTACTATGAGATGTGCGACATGCTTGGGCCACTTGACGTGAAGTCTTGCGTCTATTCAGTTTTGCAAATGTAAACAGCAGCAAAGGTTAGATGACTTGGTTGCCTTCAGTCTGGAAACACTTAGGCGATCATGTATCTTTCGAGGTTGCCATTCCTTTTCTGCAGTAGACTAATTCTTTGGTATTGAGCCTGGTCTGTTCTGCTATTTACCCATAGCTGGGGAGAGAAGAAGATTCATACCTTTCCCAAATTTATTAGCCCGTGAGTGAATGTAATGGTTTCGACTGGAATTCGAACTCGGCTCTCCGATTCCTCAATCCGAGCCGCTATCCACTACTCCACCTTCCTTCCTTCCTTCCTTTCTTTCTTTCTTTCTACACACATATCTCAATTATTTCATATATATATATATATATATATATATATATATATATATATATATATATATCTCATATATATATATATATATATATATATATTTCATATATATATATATATATATATATCTCAATTATTTATATATATATATATATATATATATCTCATATATATATATATATATATATATCAATTATTTCATATATATATATATATATATATCTCAATTATTTCATATATATATATATATATATATATATATCTCATATATATATATATATATATATATATATATATATATATATATATATCTCAATTATATCTCATATATATATATATATATATATATATATATATATATATATATATATATATATATATATATATATCTCAATATTTCATATATATATATATATATATATATATATATATATATATATATATATATGAAATAATTGATCAGAAAATAAAAAACAAATTTATCTGCTTAATTTTAATTTTTTTTTAATCCTGAGCTCATTCAGACTGTGCAGCTGCAATTCTTGAATCTCCAAATTGTCAATTGCAAAATGTCAAACATTTGCATATTGATATTTTCTCACCCCCCCCCTCACCATCATGTCAGTATATTTTCAGACATTTTTTTATTCTAAGTTAGGCTTAAATCCGACAAGAGATCTTCCTGGAAATATCTGCACTTTCCACATTGTTTTGCTTATTTTATTTAACGAGATATTTTGTTTTTTGAATGTAGCGATAACCAACTTTTTTTTTTCTTATCACATTTTGCAATGATTTAAATTCACTTTGTAGCTC